CTTTCAACTAGAGATCTCTCCATTTAACTCTTTTATAATAATAAATACATAATTGGTGTAGCTGTTAGTATCTTGTAAATTGTCCTGAGAAAACAAGAGCTGCATGCCCACTAATGGGCTGCTGCAGGCAATCCCATCTGGCAAGAATTTTAGCATTTCACACCATTTTTGCTACTGGCTAAAAGACAGCTTTTCGTTCTTTACAGATCATAACTGATGTGTTTGTTTGCATTTGGGGTTTTTTCTTGTTATTTTGCCAGAAGTATCTGGTACTGCATGGTTCTGGTGTTCTCTGTGCCAGTTAGTCTTTCTTTAACAGCATTTTTCCTGGCATTGCTCAGAGCCAGCCTGTTTCTTTAGTTACAATTCTGATTTGGAGGTAGCATGTAACTGCCTTGCCTCAGTGAGGGCTCTCTGAGTTATTCCTCAAAGCTCCCCAGGGCATGGGCAAAGGCACCTCTTAAGAAGCTGTGGCATAGTCCACCAGATGGAAACGAGAAGTGTCATGAGAAGTGTCTTTTTTTTTACTGTTTTAAGTGGTAGGAGCATAGTGCAACAGTAATCTATCTTATCATGGAGAAGTCCTTGCTGTGCTGGCACTGGACAAGAATGGGACAATACCAGTTTACAATCCCACACACAAAGCAACTGTTGGGAATGGAAAGTCCAATCTGCTGTCAAGCATCTCAGCAAAAATCAGCCTTCAGATAGGAGCTGATGAAAAATGATTACGTACTATTTTGGTTCCTGAAAGAATAAATAAAATGAACTAAAAAGAAAGAAAGAAAAAAAACTTAGAATTAAGCTTGCATTTCTGATTATATGCAATGGGTCATTTGAGGTTAGGAACTCAGAATCTTTTATTGAGAAGGTGGTGATGATGGGATGCAGATGGAAGAACAGCAAAGGGAATAGACAGAATGCTGCTGGATGCAATCTCTCTGCTCCTCTCCAATCAACACAATTATTCTCATATTTATCTTTGCTTTTAAAGAAAAAAGTCTTGTCTCCTTCAAGCGCTGAAACTGAACCAGAGAATCTTAGTTTCATGTCTTGGCTTGTAGCAGGGACATAAGAAAATAATGCAAGATGTGGACCTTGGTGTGTATGAAAGTGAGCTGCAGCCTGTGAGAACATTTGCAATCTCCTAGAGAATATATCCAGTGAGGAAAAAGTAACTGAGATTTTTTTTTTTTGACATACTTGCCTTCATATTGAGTTGCAGAGGCCTGCTGTTTTCTGGCTTTTTCAGTGTCCTAGCAGGCAAAGGGGAAATTGGTGGTGGGGACAGCAAGGAGTAGAAGGCACAAGGGACCACAGGTGCTAATCCCAGCTCTGATACTGGGCGACTGTAACCCTGGACAAGTCACTTGGCTTCACAGTTCCCTATCAGTAAAGAACAGGAGGTTAATGCTTGTCAAAACTTGCTTCTCTCCTGTGAAATGCAAGGATTGGAAGAGTTGGGGTGTGTCCAGAGCACCCAATACGTGAGAACTAGGTGCTCTTGCAGAGTCTTTTGTCCTAACAGAGGTCCTGGTTGTATTATCACAGCAAGTAGTGTGCACACTGCTTGCCAAACACTGGGTCTCTCCTTTTCCTGAACCTTCTTGCAATGGCTATTACAGAACAAGTTTTCTTATGTTTTTACAATGGGAAGAAAGACTGATGCTGTCAATCTTACATAGACAGGATAAAAATCCCCCAAAACTTCATTCACAATAAGTTGCTTTTCATCTCTAAATGTAATAGGAAAGAAGTTCTGGTTACTGTTCTGGGATTTTCACAACTTGCTTGCTTGCTTAGAATAAATTGGAAAAGTAGTACTATAATGAAGTGAAAACCTGTCATATCTGGGAAAGATAAAAGGGAAGGAAGACTCATGAAAATGCTTCTTAGTGTTTTTCTCCCCTATGGGCTATGTGTTATTTACCTTCTCCTAGATCCTCCAAGAGCTGGCATTAGCATACCTCCAATCCTGTAGCACTTTGCCAAAGAGAAGGATTTTAGATGCTGACGTGAACACAGAAGATTTGCATTCTTTTCTGTGCCATGGATTCAGAAAAGATGTAGTGTCTGTATGCCTTATTTTCTAGCCTAGGGAATAACGTCCTTTCTTTCCTTTGCTTTTTCTGTTTGGCTTTTCAGAGTGTTTATTCTCTTCTTCTGTGGAGTCATAGGCACGTTCACACACACGGGTAGAAACAGATATGCAGCACTTAGTGGGGTTTGTGTAGCTGTCCAGTGGTGCTTAGAACCAGTGCAACACTTGGAAATGTTTAAACTCTTCTTGTCAGCCTGTTTGGAAAGAACAAGTGTACTACTACTGTGCCATGTCACGTGCCAGCAGAATGTTGGCTTGCACAGAGATAGGGGCAGATGCTGAATTATGCCCTTGTTTAACAGAAAATCTCCTAGTTGGGGGCTCTCCTAAAAAAAAACCCCAAGGTACTGGAGGGAAATAGGGCTGGCAGATGACAACCTGAGCTCACAAATCCTAGCTGCAGCTTAGCCACGCAGTGCTTGTGGAATGATCCCTGCAGCATTTCTTTCTTGCACTCGGCCACTGAGGAATGTGTTTGTCGTCCTTCTCACTCATGTCACGTTGGGGGTTTTGTCAGATCAGAATACATCGTCTCTTGTGCTTCTCCGTGTCCCTTGACTTGTCATAGGCACAAATCTGTTTCAAATGCTCTCCCCTGTTCATTTCCATTATTATATCTAGTGCTTCTAGGTGGCAAGCAAAAAATGAATAACCTTGTAAATGTTCCCTGTCTTTCAATTTGTTTTATTTTTCATACAACGTGTCAGTGCATTTTTGTTGAGTGTTTTTAATAAGATGAAGTTGATGAAAATAAATTGCTTCGCAGTTCCTGCTGTGGGTGACAGAAATGCTGGGTCTGTATTTTTCAAAAACTGTTTGTTTGAAGCCAGTGTGGAGGGTGTTCTGTATCTGTAACTGCAATCGTCTTTGTATGATACCTCCCAGAAAAAGAAAGCAGCTAGCAATTTGAATTTTGGGGGCAAGATGCACTGCTGTATCCAGCTTCTGCTGGGCACAGTGAGACAGCAAGCTTTCAAGAAGGATTTTAGGTTTGATTCCATGCCAGAATTGGGTCTGCCATATTGGATAGTTAGCCAAATCTGTCTCTAATAGGAGAGGGAGAATGAATTCTACAGCAAACCTTCTTACCAGACTGTCTGTTAGCCAAGGCTTAGGAACCAAGGATTGGGACTTGACAGTGCGGACACCCCAGTGCCTGTGGCTGCTGCATATCACCTTTCTTCTGTGTTTGAATTACTTGCTCAAAAAATGTCGTATCTATAAACACTGATCTCCAGATTACCAGGGTGTACCCAGCAGACAGTTGGGCAATTACCCATCTGTTTGGAAAGGAGATAACCCATATATTCTAAATGGGATTTTCAAGTTAAGATTTTTTTGCTTTTTAACTTACTTTAATTTTTAAAAGCCAATATTACGGTGTTTCTTGTAACTGTTTTGACTTTGATAAAAAAATTCAAAAGTGCAATTTTAATTCCCTCAAGTTCATAATTTTTTTGTTTTGTCCATTTTTTGTGTCCTTTTAGTACTTATTTAGCTGGCAAGACAATACCAATGTCTGTCTTTCTGTAAGGCAGCGAAGTGCTTTCTCCTTCTGCTAGCTGGGAGTTGAAACATGGAAGTTACACGGGAGATGATGATGGACCAGGAGCTCAGGTCCCACTTTCGCAACTTCAAGGCTAATGCCATTTTCATTGATCAAGCTTTACTTTCCTCACAACTGCTTCTATTCCTTCTATTGTCCTAGCTTTTTGGAAACATTGAAAACAGAACTAATTAAGACCCCCAATTTATATTAATCTTCCCTACTTTTCATTTCAAATTTGGAAATTTCCTTGGAGATTATGCTGCTTGAGGTACAGAAAAGAGAGTATCCTGAATTATTCTTCACCATCCACTCAAATCTGAGGAGTTGGATTAATTCTGGTAGTAAAAGTGTTCTGCTGTAAAGCACAGGCCTGAGGGATCATGCTGCACATACAGTTCAGTATGGTCTGCTGCACTGTTGGGAAGCAGGGACTGAGAAGTACACTCAAGCTTGTTTGTTTTTAAAGGATTCTGTTGATAGGGTTCCTGCCACTTCCCTGGGAAAATGTCACTCCCACTATTAGGCAGCATTTCCAGAGATTTATACAGTTTTCTTTTGCTTGGCTGCCTTTCATTAGCCCTATTTAAAACAGCAAGGTGGTCCATCCATGGCAAGTCCTTTCCTTCCAGAAGGTTTCACTCTTCACTCCATAACTGCCAGGAGTGCTATATGAGGTCAGGAGTTTCCTCTTCTCCTCCTAGGCCCCCTTTGTGCCACATGTATTCACTCAGTGCCACATTTTTCACCTGTGAGTTGCAAGGTCAGGCAGCTGCTCCAGCCAATCACTGCTGTTCAGCAGCAAAAGCTAAGCTTTTATATGGGCTGCACACACATGTAGTTTTGGTTTTGGTGTTTGTTTGTTTTTTTTTTTAATAATGTACATTGTTCACCTTTTCTTAATTCATTCTGGTTTGTTGATATCTGTCTGGTTCTGCCTGACTGCAGCTTTGCCACAGCTGTTTTATAAAAGAATTGTCAGCTTGGTTGAAGGACCTGAGGCTTCTTGGTACAGAGTCTTACTCCACTGCAGCTTTGAGACCTGCTGTGGAAACTCATACTTGATTATTCTCTTCTTACCGTCCTGGTCTTTGGAGTAATTTTTAGCTTTCTGATTAGGTCTTGCTATGCCATTGGACACTGAATCCAACAATGGCAGGTCTGAAGTTTGCAAAACCACTGTTAAACATATTAATCGCTTCTGATTTTAAAATTCCAATTCTCTTCCACTGTTATTTCTGGAAGAGTTCCCCTTGACTACGTATAAACAGAAGTGTTTGTCTATAGCTGTGTGAATGTGAGGGGGTTGGTGTGATCACATACTTAAAAAATCCTTGCTTTCTGTTTTTCTAGGTATTTGGTGCTAGAACATGTGTCAGGTGGGGAGCTCTTCGACTATCTCGTAAAAAAGGGAAGATTGACACCAAAAGAAGCCAGGAAGTTCTTCCGACAAATCATCTCTGCTTTAGACTTCTGCCATAGTCATTCAATATGGTGAGTACAGCCATTTCCATGGGAGTTCCCTGCTATAATAAAGGGATCTTACCTTGATACTTTTAATTTTAAGTAACTGATGTTGTAAAGCTCTAAAAGCATTGAGAAAGTGCTGATGTATTTTTGAATTCTTGTCCATGTGTGAGACAGTGTACCAGTCATAGACAGACTTCTCATGGAAAAGATTGTCATTTTTCACTGGAGAAGAATTAATTTGCAGGGAAGGCTTTAAAAACCACCATTTTCACTGGAGAAGAATTAATTTGCAGGGAAGGCTTTAAATAGGAAAACCAAAACCACCGAGGAAAAAGAATTTCATTTCCATAATTTTTGTGGCAGTTACTAATAAGTAAGAACTCCATACACTGTACCTAAATGAATCCCTGAAGAAACCTGGGACAACTGCAAATACAGCAAAGTCATTTTATGGTTCCCTTCAGTTTTTGGAAACCTGCTGGCTTTTGGCAACCTTTACTGAGTTCCCTCTGGGCATTTGAGTCACTGTTGCCTTTAATTTCCTTTCCAGTAGGGAAGAATTTTCTTACTGACTCCATCACATTATTTAACCATGGACTGTGGTTTAACCTGTGCTTTCAGGTACCATTTTATATTGGACCAGTTTCTCTTTCATCTTCAGCAAGTTGAGATAATTTAAATTATACTGAAATCATGTTGTTGCCGTCAGTCTGAGCACAAGAGTTTCTGTACAGCTACTGACCCATAACTGCCTGCTCACCTCTCACAAATGCAGCTCCTTGCATTTGGATTGGCTGGGGGAGAGCATTTGTATTATGTCTGCATGGCTGCTTCTCCAAAGCCACAGCCAGCCACAGATCCCCCACTCCAGGAGGCCAAGGGCCACTCAGAGATACTGCAGTAGCTGGATTTGCATAATCACTGTGTGGTTACTTCTTAGTAGCCATGCAGGGATTTTCTGTACCACCAGTTCCGTGCTGAAAACTCACAAACCAGATGGCCACAGCAAAAATGAATGTTTGAATGTTTTACTTGCTCTTCTAGCCCCCTCCCCCTACATCTCTGAGTCATTTCAGCAGGAAATAGTGATCTGTAGGAGAACATATTTCTAATAAATGGAAAGGAAAAGAAGAGCCTTTCTTGAGGATATATTAAGAAGAGTATACTGTATAAGAAGAGTATAACAGCATACTCTTAGCAGAAGAGGCAGTTCAAAGGTGGTGGATCTGGGTGAGAAGGTCCTGAGGACAATGCCTACCTGACACAGGAAGGGTTACAATAGTCAGAGAAATTCCCAGAGAAGCCAAGAGCAGGTTGCATGCCCTAACTAGATGATCTAAGTTTTCTCTGTTGGCAGTGACCTCTGACCAACATGTTTTGAAACTCACAGTTTTATTCTGTGAATTCCACAGTTTTTCCTCCCTGCTATTCAGCTACACCGAGTGATCATGACCTCCTTAGAACCAGCATGATCCTTGGCAGGTTGTAGACCTGTTGTTTTTTACATGCACTGAGCAGTGTAACCACTGGTGGATTGCCTGCATACATACATTCTGTTCCCTACTTGGCTTAATGTTAAGGGATCCAATCCAACCACACTCAAAAATGTTTAAGGAAAGCTGAAGAGAAATTATTTACACTTCCAAATGAATATTCCAGAGGAATCAGAATCTCCATTGGGAGATTCTCATAGTAATCTAATACTAATACTAAAGATTAGATACTAAAGATTCTGATACTAAAGCATGCTGGTCCTTTGGACTTGTTATGGATCCCTCTGGATCTGGGAGACTTTAATAAACTAAGTTAGGATCATGGTGAGGCTGTCAGACAGACAAGCACCTCTGCAGGTTTAACACTGTGTGATATTTTCTAGGCAGATGCATGTCTCTCTTTAGAAATCCATTTTCCTCTGTTAAACATACTGGATTGTGGGCAGTAGGTCTCCTTGGACAGTAAATCCCATTCCTTGCTAACTCCCACCTGACGAGCATTGAGTGCTGGCTAAGTTAGCAGTAAATCATAAGCTCTGCCTCCAGGTCGCTCTGAGACTCGTGTGGTCTGTGTTCTATTCTGTGCTGTATTCTGGACAGTTATCAGAAAATCAGAGCATGCATAAATATATATGTGAGTGTAAAACTTAATGTGCTTTCCTAAGCAATGAAGCCTGACCTTGTCCTGTCGTGGGGCAGTGAAATGACAAATCATCTCATCAGCCAGGTTATCCAGTTATGACCACAGTGAAAAATGAAGGCTTCTGCTTTGCTTAATGACTAAATGTGGGTGCCTCCAGCCCACTGGCAGAATAGATTGATAGCCTGGTATCCCCAGACCCATATAATAGTCCCATCTTCTTCCTGTACATCCCAAAACACTGGGAAATACCCGTGGCTTATTTCAACAGCAGCATGTAAACACATTCAGTATTCACCGCTCAAAATGCATTGATACACCAGCATTCCTGAACCAAAGATTCAGAGAGGATTCCCCAATCCCTCTCCTATCAGTAAAAAGCTCCTGCTGCTACCATGTGGAGAGATCACCTTTGTCTGAGAGGTATTTTCAAACAAGCAGCTGAAAAGAGGAAGCAGAATAGGTGTGGGGCTTGTCTGTGTTTTATTTTAAAAATGTTATGTGCTTCCTGTTCTTACTTTATTTACTGGAAGCAGCGGGGGACTATGTGGTGTACTTCACTCTGTGGTGCAGTCACTTCCAGGGTTTCGTGGTGCAGGTCGGCCATGGGGGACCGCGTATGTGTAAGGCATGTCGAGTCCTCTGAGGACTTCTGTGTGCACATGGCACCGTGCCACGCCAGGGACCAGGGGCACCAGTGGCACCACGCAGGGACATCGCATGGGATCTGTGCTATCCCTCTGCTTTTCCCGAGCTGCAGGCGCTTGGCTCAGTGATGCGGCATTCCTGCTTCTCCTCCCAGCCCTTTTTTCCCTGCGCTCCCAGCGCTCCGCACCGTGCTGCAGTGCCTGGAGCGGCCGCGCCGAGCAGGGAACGGCACCGGGAGCTGAGCATCCCCGGACATCCATGTGAGGCCATCCCAGCCTGGCAGGTTTTCTTTGACATAACCGATGGGTTTCGCCTAAGCTGCCGTTCACCTCGTACTGGGTGTCTGCTGTCCTACACTCTGGGCCTTTCGGGTACCTCCGCTGGGTGCCCCGAACCAACAGCCCCTTTTGAACGCGGGACACTGCGCCCCTCTCTGCTGCTGGAGTGCCCGGCTGTGTTCCCTGCGGGACTCCGTGTGCGGGGCCGGGAGCCAGGCGCTCGGTTTCCCGGGAAGAGCCGGTTCCCGCTGTCTGTGGGGAATGCTGCAGCGCCGGGCGGGGCGGGCTGGCGGCCCCCTCATTGGCTGGCCGTGACATCACCGGCGCGAGCCGCCATTGGCGCCGCGCGGCCC